GACCGCTTTCAGGATTGCATCCCTCACATGCCTCTTCGAGACTCTTACGACAATTTCCCCAGGCAGATTATTTTTCTTTATATAGCCGGAATATGATCTGTAAACCACATCCATCTCACTCAGCAACGATTCCGCCTTCATTTCTGTCACTGGGGCTAGTAATTCACTCATCACTTTAAGATTCTCCCCCCTGTTCTCTGGCATGCCCTGGAAGCGAAGAATCATGTTGGCCTTTTCCATTTGCACTTGCAACAGTTGATCTTCCATGGAGATTTGTTTCCTTTCCAGTTTTTGCACTTTTTTCTTCACCTTCTGGGTAGTTGCAGCCACTTCCTTCACCTTCTCAGTATCTTGCTTCATTTTTTGTATCATATCGTTTATCTGGGTTTGTTGTGCAGTAATACTTTGAGTCACTTTAGACATCTGTTCCATGAAGTTATTCAGCTGTTCCAGTAGAGGGCACATATATTCCACTATAGACTTTGCCACCTCGCTGGTAGCTTCCGGTTTCGGGCTCTCAGACCCTTTCGCTTTCAAAAGTTTTTCTCTGTCCTTCTTCCCCACCATCCTTATCGCTTGTTTACTTTCGCAAATTTTGTTAAAGTCTCCGAATGTGCGCTTGACCGCTTAGATTTGCTTTAGTAAGTACTTCTAGGCAGTTTCCTTCGCGTTTTCTTCCGCTCCCCCCCTCAATCGCTCAAAAGTTCATGTGCATGGGAGGCGTCCCTCCCTCGCTCGCCTTTTTCCCGTTCGGTGGGGTGGGGAGCTATCTTTTTCCCTTTAATAAACGCTTCAAAACTGACTCACGTTCATAATTGGTAGTTCGACCTTGCTTTCAGCTTTCATTTCTGCCGCTCGATCTCCTACGCTTGCCCCGGTCAGCGTCACTAAGTCCATTTGGTCTCACAGCACGGAGAACTGTCGGAACGAAGAGGCGCCTCAATTGGGTTTGCTTGGGCCATCAAGGCTCTTATGGGTGTGTGTGTGGGGGGGAATAATGAAAATCCAACAGTGTTGGGCTCCATACCTCACTAAATACTTTTTTTTGAAGATCTGAAGAGCTTGAGCTTGTGTTCTGGGTAGGTGTGGGAAAGGGCTTTGGAGGGCAGAGAGAAAAATTAATTCAGGGCAGATTTGTGTGTGGCATCAATGTTTTAAAAGGAAATGAATTTTGAAAGGAAAACTGTAAGTAAAATAGTTCCAGTGTATTTGAGGTAAAAGACTGATGGTTAGTTTTGGTTGTTGCATAAGAACATATGATCCTTGCTGGACACATTTATTCACTTATAAATTATTCTGTCTACCAGCTAGAGGCTTTCCGGACAGCTAACATCAACTGTTAGCATAGCAAAAAGCATTAAAATTGAAAGAAAAACATATAACTGACCAGGATAAAAATGTAGTTGTAAGACCATTGTAGCAAGCCTGTGCTGTCCACAGACTTGATTCGCTTTATCATTATCTGTTTCATTGTTCAAATACGTCAATATTTTATTCTTTTACAAATCACTACATTATATATGAAATTTATTTTTGTTGTTTTATGCAGCCAATCAAAAACCCTCCTTCAGGGAAAAAGTATGTTAGATGTCCGTGTAATTGTCTTCTTATCTGTAAGGATACATCACGGAGAATAGGATGTCCAAGACCCAATTGGTAAGGGTTGTGAAAGTTACATCTTATTTGTTTTCTTTTCTCACAAAAAATATGTAATGAATGGTGTAAGACTAGCTGTTGTTGTTTTTAATCAATATTTTGTATAAACAGTGTCTTCTAGCCTATGCATATCCAAATCAATCCTTTTAAGGAAGAAAAAAATTACATTCAAATTGGACAGAAGAATATTTATTGTACAAGTGGAGACCCACAAGAAGCTTGTGGGGAGGATGCATCCCTTTCCCCACCTTTCTTCCCTTCCCCCCTTCTCCAGGGTGGTCCCATCATTGACAAATTTTAGACTGTCGCCTAGGGCGCAAGCTTGACAAGGGCGCCACTCTGGCCTGCCTGCCGCCCCACCTTCCCCATTAGGCCCTGGGCCACATGTCCCGGTGGTGGGCTCCCTTTCCCTCGGCCAGCCGGCCTTTTCCCCTCCTCGCCCCGCACAGGAAACAAAGCACCCCAGGGTGTGCCTCCCTTGCTGGCCGGAGCGCCTCCTCCCCCCGCAATTCAGCAGCACCAGGGAGGCGAAGAAACGCACCCCCCCACTACCACCCTAACCCCGGGCCCCTGGGGAGCCTCCAGCCGGCTTCAGCGCCTCTCCAAGGAATGCGAAAGGGAGGGGGAGGTTTCCCACGAGGTTTGAAGCGGCTTTTCCTTGCTGAAGGCAGAAGAGCTGCAGAGGCTTCCCGAAGGGGCGGGGGGTGCACCGTGCAGCTTTCCTGAAGCCTTGAGAGAGCTGTCCTCGCCGCGGTCTCCTCCACACCGTGCCCTGCCCAAAGGGGCTGACGACATCACCCTGCAAGACCCCGATGGGGCTGTGATTGGCACCGGGGGGGAGGGGATTGGAAACTGGCCAGCTGCTACTTGCACATCTGAGCGCTGTCCGGGAGGCCCGGAGCGCCCCAAGAGGAAGGCCTGGGGGGGGGAAGGAGAAGTGACCCTTGGGGTACAGGAGCCAGCCGGGATCTACATGGGGGCGCCTTGGCAGCTGCTGCGGAGGCGCACCAGAAGGTAGCCTCGCCTACTGTACAAAAAACCTGGAGCCGGCCCTGCCCTTCTCTATCAATCTCACTCTTTCTCCCCCCCTTCTCCTCTGACGGTCTCCTTCTCTGACAAACCAACCCCCCTCTTTCTCCCCCCTTCCCTTTTTTCTACAGTCTTATCCCCATCTTTCCCCCCTCCCCTTCTGTCAGTATCCCCCCATCTCTCTTACTCCTCTCTCCCTTCCTTATCTTGGCCTTTTCTTAGCTAATGGGGCTGCCCTTGCTCAGACGGCTGCAGTGGTGCTTCCCAGGGCCCCTGGCAGGACCCCTGGGAGCCATTGTGTTGGCAGCTGAGGTGCATGTGCACAGATAATGTTTATTTTTTGATGAGGTTAAACCCCCAATGCAATTTTTGTAAGTTTTACGATTTTTCTGCAAACCTGGGGGTTCCCCCAAGCTTGGAGAAAAACCTCCTTTCTGTCAGTGTGGGCATGATCTGTGGATTTAGATATCTGCAGATCAGCCAACAGATGGCTGTTAGATATACAGATAGACTTTAATAAAGTCTGCACTGATTTTTTTAAAGAACCCTTTAATTTCTGAGAAAGACTGTCTGATCCATTACAAACAATGAGACATCCATGGAAACCTCCTTTAGTGCACAATTTTATTAAAGGTAAAGGTTCCCTTGCTCGAAAGCCAGTCGAATCCGACTCTAGGGTTGCGGTGCTCATCTCCGTTTCAAAGCCGAAGAGCCAGCGCTGTCCGAAGACATTTCCATGGTCATGTGGCCGGCATGACTAAACACCAAGGGGCACGGAACGCTGTTACCTTCCCACTGAAGTGGTACCTATTTATCTACTTGCAATTTCTTGCTTTCGAACTGCTAGGTTGGTAGGAGCTGGAACTAGAGATGGGAGCTCACTCCATCATGCAGCACCCGGGTCTTGAACTGCTGAACTACTGACCTTCCACAGCCTGCAGTGCAGCGTCTTAACCACTTGAGCCACCGCAGCAATTTTATTTTTATTGCAATTTTATTACAGCATTGTTATTACTCGAAAACGTGGAACAATCCATCATGCTTCCCTTTTCTTAGTCTTTAGACAAACACTTCTTGGTTACTGGGGTTTTGATCTGATGTTCATTTCTTTAACTTGATGTATAAAAGTGATAGAATCATTTGTCAGAAAGACACTAACAGTGCAATCCTATGCTGAGTTACTGTAGCCTAAACCCATTAGCTTTGATTGGCTTAGAATGAAGTAACTCTTCATTGAATTGCACTGTGAGCCTTAAAAGATGTTTAATGCAATAAATCAAAATGAGAAAAAAGTAATTTGGTATTATAATATATCACAGTAAAAATAATTTATGTACAAGTATCTATATATCCACACACTGCCATTAGTAAATCATATGATATATTAATAAAGAAACAATAGGATTGTGTGCTGGGCTTCCAGCCAAAACTGATGCAAAGGGGCATCTCATCCACTTTGTTCCTGTAGTGGTAGCCTCCCCATTTTATTGAGGCACTGAGGTACAGTACAGCTCTGTTCAGTGCAGGATTCCCCCAACCAACACCATTTTTGGCCCCACAATTTATTAACTATTGGCCACGGTGCTACTCAATACTGAAAAAAAGTTTCATGCTAGAGCAGAATGTAGATTTATGTAGCAAGTGCAAAAGTTTCATAGCACTATCCAAAGCAGCGATTGAAGTCAGTGGGCTTAGAAGGGTATAACTCTTCTTAGGATTGTATTGTTGGCGATGTACTGCAAACATTGCCATTGTAGTCTGTGCGGCAACTGAAATTTCAAGCCTGGAGGACTGCCAGGGAAATGACTTCTAGAATGTGTAGTCAATCTGGGTATCATAAAGATAGTTGGTTCCATTCTGGACTGAGACTAGGCAAGATTATATCTTTATTGGACCAACTTGTGTTGGTTCCATTGCATCCAGGCTTTTAAGTTACTCTGAATTTCTATTGTTTGAAAATATACGTACACCTACATCAGGGGTCTCCAACAGTGTTCCTGTGGGTACCATGCCACCCTCTGTCACCTTTCCTAGTGCCCATCAAGTGTTTCTAGAAAGTGGGTAGAAAGTAGGGCTTCTGATTGGCTACCGGAGATCTGATTGGCTGGGCAGCTTAAAATAATGGTGTTCCAGTAGCAGCTGCCACCACAATGTTGGTTTTACTCTCTCCCACCCTTTCCAAAACTGTATTTTTTTAAATTGTCCCTCTTCCCCCCCTGCACTTAGGCTTCTTCTCTGTGGGTGGCTCCACCTCCTGTGGCAGCCATTTTGTGGCTGTGCCCATCATTCCATGTCAGAATTCCAAAAGGGCCTGCAGACTCAAAAAGGTTGGGAGCCCCAACCTACGCTGACAACAGTTGTCAAAGGAAACTATCCATAGCCCCTCACCCATGTTGTGTCTTGAAATGTTGCTTGGTATTTTGTATTACAGTGGTCCTTCTTCAAGTGGGCCAAATTGGAATGATCTTTGCAGAAGACATTTAGCTACAGAGAAATCATTTAGGGTATTGCATAGATAATGGCATAAGCTTTTTTTGTCTTCCTACAGTAGACGCATCATTAATCTTGGTCCAGTTATGCTGATTCCAGAGGAGCAACCAGCACAGCCAGCAATACCTGTTCAGCCAGAAGGCACTAGAGTGGTGTGTGGGCATTGTGGAAATACATTCTTGGTAAGCATAGCCAACAGGTTCCATGCAAAGGACCAAACCTCCTCCCTTTCTAAGTGAGCCCTGCAGCTATTGAAAAGACAGAAACAGCTGTGAAGAGGCATTTGTGTGGGCCAGAGCTATGTTCTCAAGTATTGACTTTGAGTTGCTAAGATATTTACCCCAGGTTTCAGGTTTCTTTTTTAAACAATCATTGTCCAGGGGTACAGAGTTGTTCATGCCACATACATTTGGTCCAAGTTTATAATTAAAAATGTGTTTCATCTAAGAATCTGTTTGTTTTCTTTGACACAGTTCACATTCCATGTCTATGATAGTTAAGATTCAGTTTGTTTCCCTAAAATTAGCTCATGCTTCTGATAACCTTCTTCAGTCATTCTCTCCTCTTGAGGCTAATCTCTTGGAAAAATACTGCAGACAGGAGGTTTGATGGGATGATCTTGATAAAGGAACTGCAGGTCTGGTTTCAACCAGACACAGTGCCTTCCTTGTCTTATGACTGACTTAATAATTTCAGTGGGAAACTAAATAAGCCTTTGTCAAGTTGTCAAGCCAAGGAACTAAAGGGAATCAGCACCAGTATATGGACAAGAAAGTGGATAAAGGGCTTAGTGTAAATCAAATTGAAGATAAGAAACTCTTAATTCTTATGGGTACCTCAGTGTCTATTCAGCTCTTCAAACTCTCCCTTGCCCCAAATACGAAAGGTGTGATTTATTTCCTCTTCATATATTTCAGTTGAACTGCAGGAGGAAAAAAACTCTATGATTTTGCAGCCTACAAGATTGGTAACTGAACCCTGTGTTTTCTGAATTTGACTGTTTGATTTTTATGTCGTCATTTAGATTTTCCCATTTAAAAATCTATCCGGAATTATGAGTTTTGGTTCTTGAAGGTAGAGTTTGTTTCACCAGCTTGTCTGGACAGCTCTTTTATTGCATTTCATACAAAGGTTTCTGTCTGCTGATGCTTACAGTATTCCCCTTGAAGTCTGTGGGATTATTTTGGATAAGAGTTTTGAGGATTGAAGCCCAGTATGGCCAGATGAGGCCACCCCAAGTTAGTGAGCCACCTTTCCTCTCCATAAGAGCCAAGCTAGTAAGCACCTTCTTATGCAGCCGAACATGGATGAATCTGAGGCAGCACTGTGGTCAAAAGAAGTAGAGCCAAGATGGTGCTAGTGTGCTCTTGGGAGTGTTAAGGATGCAGGTTTATACCCAAGCATTCTTGATTTGACTCATTCTTTCTCCCCGTCCTGTCTCCCCCCTCTCTTTCCCAAAGGAAACAACTGCTGTTCTCAGTCTATCTTAATTAAACCAACTCTGTCACCACAGGGGTACATCTCTTGACTAGGAGCACTGCTGAATGCTATGTACCTGGGGTGCAGGATCTGAAGAGATGCACCCAAGAGACTGAGTACGAGTGGAATATTTTACATGGCACTCTCCCCAGTCCATGCCCAACGTTCCTTTTGTATTTTGAAAAACCACGTGAGAAGCCTGCTTGGGTACATAAACCTGATTATGAACCATATGGAATGGGTAAAGAGCAAGAAATTCAGGCTAATCCTTTCGAGTAGTAAATTAATATTGAAATATTTTTGACATTATCAAGAGCCTGCATGTGAATTGCAAGCAATTCAGCCAATCCTGGCTATAGAATCAGGCCAATCCTTTCGAGTAGTAAATTAACATTGAAATATTCTTGACATTACCAAGAGCCTGAATGTGAATTCCAAGCAATTCAGCCAATCTGGCTACAGAATAAGAGTTGGAGGAACTATACAGGCCATCTAGTCTAACACCCTGGCTCAATGCAGGAGCAGCTTAAAACATCCCTGCCAAGTATTTGTCCAGCCACTGCTTGAAAACTGCCAGTGAGAGGGAGCTCACCACCTCCTTAAGCAGATGTTTCCACTCCTGAACTACTCTTACTGTAACCCCCCCCCCAATTTCCAACAAGTACCTACCCTCTTCTGCCAACAGGAACAGCTCTGTGCCCTCCTCTAAGTGACTGCTTTTCAAATACTTAAAGAGAGTGATCATGTCCCCCCTCAACCTTCTCTTCTCTAGACTGAACATTATCAAGTCCCTCAGCCTTTTCTTGTAGGGCTTGGTCTCCAAGCCTGATCATCCTTGTCACTCTCTTCTGTACCCCCTCCATTCTATCCACATCTTCTTTGAAGTGAGGCCTCCAGAATGGCACTCAGTACTCCAGCTGAGGCCTGACCAATATGCGGGACATATTTTAGGAAAGGCGTGGGAACAATCTCCTTCCTCCCATTGTTTACAACCACATGAGATTATGCCTCAGGAATATCAATGAGTCTGGTAACTCTCTGGCTCTGCGTGTCTAGTGGCTATTTTAATTTTTTATTTATTTACGTTATTTATACTCTGGTTTTCTTGCTGAGACTCAAGGCAGTGAGTGTAAGTCAATGCAGTCAACAGGATGGGAGACCTAGTAAGCAATCTAATAGGATTGTGGAAATCTAAAACTGAGTAAAAATCTAAAAGGGAAACAAAGCAGAAGTATTAACATGACATGGTAATGCAGGGATTACATAGCAAAATAATACAAACATCAACAGACTCCTTGGTTGCAGTTTTCTTACAAAGGCAATTCGAAGGGAGATTAGAGAGACTGCTGAATTGCAACTGATAATGAAGCCTCCTGCATCCTGACAATGCATCCTCCTGGGCTGAATCGGGACCTAGGTTTCCTGTCTCATTACTAATGCTGGTTTCTCCATGCTACTACTGCTCTGCATATCATACCTAATCCAATGACATCTGCTATTGTCATTTGGCATCTGAAATCACTCCACTCTCCAAGATACAAGGACTTGCATTCTAGCTGTATCTGAAGAAGTGAGCAGTAACTTATGAAAGCTCATGCTCTGCCACAAATTTTGTTAGTCTTTAAGGTGTTACTGGATTCTTGCTCTTTTTTACTGATCTAAACTGATCTCCCACCACTGGAATATGAAAGGGTCTAAATGTACATTTTAAACTTATCTCTATACTAACAGTAAACAATTTTTAGCCAGAAATTATGAACAGGCCATGAACAGGCCATTTATGAACAATGCATTTAGTGGCTGATCTTCCTTCATTTTAAAATGAGGGCAACTGCCATATAAATGACATCAGATTGCTGCTGCCATTTGTAACCATAGCTTGTATTATTTCAGTCTTGTAATTTGTAAGTCATGGGAAATGGTTTTATATGGAAATCCCAAACCACAAAGTGTGCTGATACTGTGTCCAAAAGGGCATCCCAGTGACGGAAGAAAACGAGAATCAAAATATTTTGCTGTGATCCCCTGTGACATTTAACATGAAGTAGAATATTCACACTGGTATTTTTTTCAGCTTTCTCTCTCTACCCCCCCTCCTTTTTTCTTTTCTTTTTTTACAGTGGATGGAACTAAGGTTTAACACTTTGGCAAAGTGTCCACATTGCAAAAAAATGTAAGTTCCAACAAGTGCTACTGCTGATGCATGTATTTTTAGGACTACATTAAATTCATTCATTAGGTCTTACTAAAGGGCAAGTATTTGTTTTCTACAGCTGAAAAATATTGATAATGAAGGTCGCTTGACCTTTCTTTCTGCTTTCCTCCAGTTCCCAAGTCAAGAGCTTTTGAAAATTCTTACTTGATTGCAGTTGCTTGGATAATCATTAAAAGGAAAGGAAAGCTGAAATTAACAAGCCTGTATTATAAACCTATTTTATTGTGTTATATTCAATAGAAATATTTTAAGACAGAAATATCTTAAAGGGGGGGACAGTGGAGTAGCAAATAAGCCGTTTGGTTGTTGATATGAAAAATATGCCTGGTTTTTCTTCTGTGTGAAGACTTAAGGGGTTGATCTAGTGATCCACTCTTGGGAACGAGGCCCCCCCCCCCCCCCCCGCAGTCCCTTACAACACTGAGAAAGTTGATTCCTTGGGTGATGGAACCCTTGAGAAGCAATAGCCATCTGGGACAATGGGCAGTACTGAGGAGGGAGAAGGCTGCAAAACTGTTCCCTTCTCTTTAGTCAGCAGAACTGTGCTGATGGAAAAACAGAGAGGGCAGTTTTGCTCCCTTCCATCTCCTTACTAACCCTCATGGCTGTTGCTTCAGGTGGGTCTTCTCTCACCCTGTAGCCCCGATGCGCTGCTTTACTCATGGGCAGCCCTAAATAGCTGGGCACCCCACTCCTGGCCTGAAACACAGAGCTAGCCAAAAGCTCTGCAAAAGGGTCTCCATTTTCAGGTGACACAAGGCAGCCCTCTAAGGCTACCTTCAACCTCCCCCTCCACCCAGCAGAGGTGTGCATATAGAATAACAGTGGGTTCCTCCAGGTACAGTGTCTACATTTCTAAAGACTATTCAGAGGCCACCTGGCACACAGCTCCTCTGTCCCCAAACCCTCAAGTAACCCTTTTGTGTGACCTGTATAACCATGTGGAAATCCCTTGTCTCCACCACTGTCTTTCCTACTCCATCCCTCAGGATACCGAGAAAAACGAATCAAACATTCAAATGCTTAGCAATCCTTCCTGACACTAAGCAGGCAATCATTTCCCACCTTTTGTCTGAACCTGGGAACCTATTCAAACTGCCTTGGCATTAGTGGTCATCAAACCCATTCAGCTAGCTCCAGTAGAACTACCCAGCACCTGGTTAATCCCATCAACACTACTGTGAATCCAGACTCTGCCCCTCTGAAACCACACTGGTCACACTTAGCTCTTGCCCCTCCTGGCGTCACACCCCTGGGACTCTTCCCTGTTCCAGGTAATCTTTTGTCTTCACCTGGGACAAGCCCCTCAAGGCCTCCCATTGGTTCACATTGTTTTCCCATGTCTGTATCCTCCAAAACACATGGCCATTAAGGTGTGTCACTCTGAGTGAGGCAGCCTACAGCAGAGAAGCACCCCCAAACCCCACAGTTTGGGTCCCCTCCCTTTCTAGCCATGGACCCCTGCACATCTGGATAGGTATAGTATTACCCTAATCTCCCCACCCCTCTGTCTGTCTGCTAACTTCTTTTTATATCTCCTTGTATGTTTGCAATCCTTGATTTGAGTGTAAATACCTAAATCATTATTTTCCCCTAATACAATCCACTTCTTTTACCATTTGGACTGGTTATTGACTCAATAAGGGGTCTTAAAGGGACTATCTTCGTAAAAATTGATAGCGGATCCGCGCTTACTACCCCACCTCTCGCTGAGGCCTATCATTTGACTAAATTTCCCCTGAAACTAAAATCAGCTATTCAGCTTTTAAATTAAAGCTGGTAGGGGTAACAACCCTGGAGAGTCAACTTTGTCAGGGTCAGAAGGGACTACGGGGTGTAGAAGATTTGCAGCTTCAGTGTCCTCCACTGATGGATTGCTGGTGGATCCAACACAAATTCACTATCTGTCAATGTTTTAAATGATGTTGTGATGTTTTGATAGGACAGTTATCAGACAATACTGATATAACTGAGTATTTCTTGAAGGTAAATAACTGCTTTAGAACCAAAAAGAAGCTTCTAAAGTCAAAGAAGAAGGAACTTTTCTGGAATGGTAGTCATATACTCATTTTAGCCGTACCAGTTGACATTAAATACAGTAAAGGCTTTGTCATCTGGGGAATAGGGGTTGATGGTTAATCAAATGTGCTGGGTACTCGAACTTAGTGCTCTACCCTGGCTCCTACCCAGAGGAAGCAGCAGCAGTCAAACCCCACCCCATTGCTAACCCCTACCCTAAGCTTGGCAGGACCCTTCCTTGGAGCAATCTTTTTGCAACAGGCAGGCTGGCTGTCCAGAGCACCTGAACAATATTAGCACTTTGGTGAGGGTATACTTGTGGTGGCTGTGAAATCTATTGGTATGCTGATAGAAGACTCAAGACAGCAAGCTAATGGAAAGAGCAGCAAAGATGGGAGGGGTGTAGCAAACCTGCAGCCTGAATGAAAATACTTTTTTGAGAGAGATGAGTGAGTGCTGTAGCTCTCTCCACATTTTGTAGCCATTATGGGGAAACGGACAAAAAGAAAGCAGGAAACTGGAGTACATACTCCATTCTTGGTAACTATATTTACTTCAATTCTTTCTGCATCAAGTACAGATACAGAATCCTAACCAAGTTTAGACACACCCCATTAAATTCACTATTTCAGAGTATATCAGGAGATTAGCACAGTTACGGAACTTTTAGTCATTCCGTAATTAGTTGAAGTTGATTTTTAAAACATCTGGGAATGGATACAGGTGTGCCATTTGAATTCTTTTTGTAAGGGTCAACTAGTGTTGCTGTAGGGGGACGTTTGTCCCCAGTGAAGCCTAAAATTTCAAGCACACTTGTCAGCAGATGTTTTTATTTGTACTTCATCTTTCCTCCAAGGAGCTCATGTGATATACATGGAATCCCTTACTCCTATTTATGCTCCCAACAATCCTACGAAGTAACTCAACTTGAAAGAGAATAACTAGCCCAGGTGCACCTAGTGAGCTTCGTGGGTGAGCATGAAACTGGGTCTTTTGGTTCTAAGACCAAATATTCCATCTACTGCAACACAGTAATTCTTTATTTAAGGTATCCAGTTTAATCCTTCATTTTTTACTTCGTGTGTGTTGGCTGACTTGATGAGTTTAAAACAAGTACGTGGTGTCGTCTGTATTAAAGAAGCATGGCATTCAGTTATATGCACCCAAAGATGTACTACTGTAGTAAATGTTATTTGACATTTGTCTCTATGTGACTATTGGTGTGGCCTGTAACTAAATGCAGCTCATATTGTGATACACAGTTCTTGGATTTAATTCTCGTGCATTTTAATCCCACCCTTCTTTGAATAAGATCATTATGATGTAAACATGGTTCTTCTTTCCTCATTTTATCCTCACAACAAGCCTATAGGGTAGGAGAGGCAGAAAAAAAAATGACTGGCCCAAGATACTCCAGGGAACTTCATGGCATCTTGGGGGTTTCAGCTCAGGTCCTAGTCCAGCACTTTAACCCCAGCACCAAAATGGCTGTTAAACTGCTTAAACTGCGTTTGGTAACACATTTAAGAGAAAAGTAACTTCACTGAACTAGTTTTAGCATGCAGTGTTTGTCTGGTTTGACATCAGTAAGATAAATGAGTGAACCCTAATCCTTTCAGTTGAATAGGTTTGTTTGAAAGAAATGCATGGCCTGGAATTAGGGAAGGGAATAAAATATTCGTTCTTTCGTATAAATAGCATAATATATATTCACATTTTTCTAAATGGAAATAGTCATCTCCTTGAAAAAAAAAAATCACATGTAAAACAGCTTTAAATATCCGTGGAATTCTCAGATCACCCTTTTGACAGAAGCTTCTTAATTACAGTGATGTCAGGACCAGTAGAAAGCTTTGAACACCAGCCTGAAAGCCTCAATAAGCAGAGCACAACTGAGTTTGTCTTTGCCTTTTCAGTTTGAGTGCTTGGGAATTCTTTACTGTAGAAAAGCTCCTTAAGTCAGTCCATTTGAAGGTATTCCAGTAAGAATTTTTTTTTTTTATTCTAGTCACACGCTAGTCATGTGGACTCTTCCTGAACTTTTAGTTAATTTGAGCCTTAGGGTTTCTGGTTGATCACATGGTAGTTTAGTGGTTTCTTCGCTCTATTCTGAATTTTATTTGGACATATATAACTAATATCATTAAATAAATGACTACAGCTGTCTCTCTGTGTCTTGGCCCTCAGTGTGGTATAAAGCTCACACTTTGAAACACAAATTGTGTTTAGCATTGACAAGTTTACATTGCTGTTATGTATTCAGAATTGCCTGGGGAAACAGAGGAGACTACACCCTTCAATTATTTTCTTCCCACTTTAGTTCATGCATTTTGTCAAATACTAGAGATCCACCTCTCCTTTTCACACATGCTTCAGTTTTTACAGCATTCAATGAAAAGAGCTACTTCGGCTGATTATTTTCCTTTTATGGACTTATGATACAGACTTTCTTCAACTTCTTGTAGAATAATGACATACAGCCTCTCTTATTTCACAGATATTAATAGTACAAGTATAGTTCATTTATTGCTAATTTGCTTTGTCAAAGTATATAACGCTATTAAATGCAACAAAGTATATAATGCTATTAAAAGCAACAAATGAATAAAATAACACCTATGCATTTGAATACCCACCCTCCCTGTCCTTTGGCTACTGAAGTCTAGTCAATTCACCACAACATCGATGTTCCCAGAACATTGTTAATATACTGATGAAGATACTGAGCCCGTTCGCGGGGAGGGCAGGGTATAAATGTAATAAAATAAATAAATAAAAATGAATGAGGCTCCTGACTTTGAGCTTCAGCAAGTCTCCAAAGAAAGGGAGTGGGTAAGGATGCTTTTGTGGTGCCATTTCTCTGTGCTCTTCCAGGTATATGGTAAACACAGGGGGTATTCTTTCAAGTGCTCTTAAAAAAAAAGTCACTAATAACCAGT